GCATTATCATCCGTTTTCTTCCCTTCTGGTTGTTGCTCTGCCCGTCGTCTATCGACCCACTTGACATCAAATATCCCCAACTTTACGATCATGGCGTCGAACTCGGCGGCCCCGTCCACCACCGGCCCGGCAAACGGAGATTGTGCCTTCAAAGGCGTCAACGGATCATCTCCTGCCAGAGTGCCGGGGAGGCTGTACTCGCTTTCACAGCCGCCGTCCCTGTCTGCCTTCAAGTCGCTGTGCTCTCAGTCGACCCGCCGCGAAACCTATCCCCACGCGTCGGCCATTGTATCCAACATCCCCATCTACGATCTCCCCACAGATGTGCCGGCAGCTGACCCAGGTTTCATCGACGAGCTACAGGATGAATGGCACCACATCCTCCTCTCTGGGCCCGGCGTCGTGGTCCTCCGCAACTTCACGCCGGACACGGCGCTGCTTGAGCAGGTCAACGCCATCTTCTCCGACATTATCGCCGCGGAAGAATCCACCGCCGCCGCTTCGGGGGCACACAACAAGGGCGACCACTTTGCTGCGAGCGGGACCAACGCGCGGATCTGGAACTCGTTCCAGAAGCACGCCGAACGGGACCCGTCGTCCTTCGTGCGGTACTATTCCAACCCGTACCTGGCCGCCGTGTGCGCCGCGTGGCTGGGCGCCGCGTACCAGATCACCGCGCAGGTGAACCTCGTCCGGCCCGGGGGGAAACCTCAGGTCAGCCACCGCGACTACCACCTGGGGTTCCAGACGGCCGAGTCCTGCGCTTTGTACCCGCGCGCGACGCAGGTCGCGACCCAGTTCCTCACGCTGCAAGGGGCAGTGGCGCACTCGGACATGCCGCTGGCCAGCGGGCCGACGCGCTTCCTGCCCTTCTCTCAGCAGTTCGAGCAGGGCTTCATGGCGTACCGGCTGCGCGAGTTCCAGGCCTTTTTTGACGAGAACTGGGTGAGCTGCGACCTGAAGATGGGGGATGCCGTCTTCTTCAACCCCGCCCTGTTCCACGCCGCCGGCGAGAATCGCACAACCCATGTCCAGCGGTCCGCGAACCTGTTGCAGATCAGCAGCGCGTTCGGCAAGACCATGGAGAGCATCGACACCCTGGCCATCATATCCAAGTGTTGGGCCGAAGTGAAGAAATTGTACGACGGGGCCGACACCGACGACGCAGACATGCAGCTGGGCGCCAGGAAGAGAGTCCAGGCGATTCTGAGTGCGATGGGCAATGGGTATCCGTTCCCCACAAACCTTGATCGCCGACCGCCAGCGCCGGGCGGAATGGCACCTGAGAGTGAAATTGACATCCTTCAAAAAGGGCTGGTGGGAGGTTGGGAGGTTGCTGAGGTCGTCGAGGCCATAACAGCGATCCGAACAGACTCAATGCCATAGAAAACAAAAACAAACCAAAATAAAATAGAACAACAAGAAATCATAATAGTCATCGTCATCGCCATTTTATCGCCAGTGAAATTCTAACTTTCGGTATCCCTCTACCACTCAGATTACCAGAGGAGAACAGGTTTGATCGCGCTCCCGTCCTCCATGCCGTGCAATGCCTGCAACGCATCCTTCGCCGGGAAATGCTTGACGATCTTCTCGATGGGGAACTTGCCTTCGCGCCACCACTGGATCATGACGGGGATCCAGGCCTGGCCCGTGGTGTTGCCCAGGTAATGGCATTCGAACGACTTATTGCCGCCAAAGAACTCCTGCAGGGGGATGGTGATTTGGGTACCAGCCCTGGGGGCGCCGAGCTGGATGAACCTGCCATGGCTGCCTAGGGCCTTGATGCACTCCTGGATGACGGGGACAGCGGCCGTGGTTTCGATGATGATCGAGATACGTTGGCCCTCGACGAGCTTCTGGATGTCCTCCGCCAGGCTGCCGCCGCTGGGGCTTTCTTTTGAGGTATCGAGGACCTTTGTGGCGCCGAGTTGTTTCGCGGTTTCGAGGCGATGTGCGACCCGGTCGACGGCGATGATCTCTTTACATCCCGCAATCTTGGCCGCCATCACCGCTCCCAGCCCCACTGCGCCGATACCCGTCACCAGCACAATATCGTGAGGCTTGGCGGATGCGCCGTTGATGATTGCCCCTGATCCTGTCATCAAGCCGCATCCCAGAGGGGCCAGCAACTTCAAGTCATCATTGCCCTTGACGAGGTCTTTGACATTGACCACGCTTCCCTCTGCGACGATGCTCGTCGCGGCGAAGCTTGACTGACCGAAGAACTTGGCGGGGACTTCTTCGCCTGCAGTGGTCTCAAAGATTCCTGGTTCGCCAAAGATGTTGAGAAGCTGCCACGACGCACAGTACGGCTGCTGCTGTATGTTGCAGAGGTCGCAGTTGGAGCAGTAGTTGTATGACAGCAAGACCGGGTCTCCGACTTTGGCAACAGTCACTCCTGGCCCGACCTCTTCGACCACACCTGCACCTTCATGGCCCAAGACTTTCGGGAATTTCATTCCCACAAGCCGTCCTGGAATTGCGGCGACGACGATGTCTGAATGACATATCCCCGTTGCGACCATCCGAATCTTGAGCTCATGTTCTTTGGGGCCCCGTGATACTTTGATGTTTTCGAACCTCCAGTCCGGGGCCAGAGTGGTGGGCTCACACGGATAGGAGACCAGTGCTGGAATTTCGGTTGCCATTTTTCTGCTCTATAGAGGTGATAGACAGTCAGGAATTCAGGCAGCCGCTTGAAATCTTGTTCACCAGGCCTTCAATTTATGTTGCGAACCGAGTCATGTTTGCTTACTCGGGCGGGCGACTCTGCTCCAGGGAGCAGTCCCAAGACTCTTCGCTGACAGGTTGCAGCGGCCGCATCAACTTGACCTCGGTAGATATTCACCTGGCCTTGACATATTGATTTAGGGTACCATACGAGGCAGAAGTACCTGAAGGGCGGCCCAACTCTTGCACAAGTGTTGTGCGCTGCATCCCGCTGTCAGATCGGAAGCTTGGACGACGCCGGAGGACTCTGTTGATAGTTGCATTGACGGTTGTCAGCAATTACGGAGTTTGTAGTTGCTTTTCCTGGGGGTGCTCTTCCCCGCGTTGTGATCCGTTTAATACGATTGCCGAGCAAGGTTGTGTCCTTTGGCGTACGAACGCACAGGCACAAGACGTCGGCGTCTTCCATCATTCAGCTCCGTGGACAAGGTATCACTATTCGTGGATTCCCTTTGCAGCTCCACTATCTGTCGCTTGGCAGCATCTTTCGCAGTGTGCAGGTCTCCCGTCGATTTGACACCCCTTCGATCGAAGCTCTTGCGTCGGTATTGATAGGGAAGCTGTCGAGCACGCCAATAGCCAAAGTGGGAGGATGTTGCCGGTTCAGACCATCCTCTCGGAGGGTGCAGTGCAAGATTCTGGGGTGGCCTGGGTGGCTTACGACCGACTAGCCCCCAATTTCCGTATGCGAAACCCTGTGTCAGCAGGAAAATCTGGCTCTTTTTGCACTGCACTGATCCCGAGTCGCGCTCCATTTTGTGATTAGTCCTGCATCAACGGCCTGATTGTCGGCTTTCGCTGAGCTGGAGAGGAAGGAAGCGCTGGCCGAGGTCTAAGGACGCTGTCAATTTTTGATTTGCCCCGCACAACAAGAGTACATGGCAATCCAGGTGCAGAAACAGCTGAGGTCGAGATGAGTTGTAACATGTAACATAGGGTGACACCGTGACAAAGCGTTTCTTGGACAACCACCTCTTCCTTTCTCCCCTTCTATTCTCCGTCAAAGGAACATTTGCGAGCCAATCTGTACCGTCTAGGAGGACGAGCACTACTGACTCCTACAGGTCGAATGTCGAAGTTGTCCAGAAGGACAGGCGGCACCAGCTGAAAGGTCGAACACCGGACGCCCAATTTCAGACGTCAGACGAAGGGTCGATCCCCGAGCGCCAAGCGCCAAACGGTGGCCGATGGAGCTTTCTCGTTTTGCTGAGAGGGGTAGCGGGTTTGGAACGGGCCAAATGGGATCAGATGGAGGTACAAAGGTGAGGAGTGACGCGTGGGGCGGTCTTTTCGTGCCTGCAAACTTCGTCAGCTTGGATGGAACATGAAGGACGGAGAACGACATGACAATACCTGCGATTCTCAAAGACGCATCTTCTCCGTCGATGGAAGTGGGAAGCCTATGACCGCTTGCCCGTGCATGGAGACCAGAGGACAGTGAGGCAGTTGAATGTGAAAATTGCATCGTCCATTATGGTGTCAAACAAGTTACAGTGCTCTTCTCCAAAGCTTTGCACAAGGCAACGAACCGTGATGAAAAGGACAAAGACGGATTGTTAGAGGGACAAAAATTGCGCTCGCGGAAGTCCCGAGGGTGCTTCCGGCACAGTTCACCAACTCCGATGTGCAATGGAATGATATCTGTGCAACAAGTCGAATGCTTGGGCTCAAGATGTTCGAACAAGGTAAGTATGAAGGGAAAAAGAAGAAGAGAAGGAGGAGGAAGTTGGGGAAGGGAGGAGATATTTATACCATAGCAGATGGATGCAGGTTGACCTGGACTTGGCGGAGTTTCTGATCTGAGCTGAATCTGTCACTGTCATCACTTCATGTGAAACTCTTCGCCAAGGGACAATGATCAGGAAGAGGCTGATCTGTTACCCTGTCGCTCTGTGATCGAGTGAAGCTGAAGCGGGAGTAAGCCGACAATGAGATGAGAAGATGTACACAAGACCGGTGCCGCCTCCCATTGGCCAGGTCCAACTTCACTTCAACCTTGTCTGACACTTCGATATCGATGAGCACTCGGTTCAATCCACCGGGCACCAACTACAGCACGCATTCTGACTCGTTGCCCGCAATGAGCTCCTCTTGCTCAGGTGGTTGAACAGGTAGTTCATTGTCTGAATCATTGCTATGGACACGATGTGGTGTTCGCTCCAACCTGGGATCTTTCATATCATACAAATAGACCTATCTTATGCTATGCCAATGGTATGCCAATGCGGTGCCGGCGCTGCAGTCACAGTCGTGGCCCTCGCCTTCCCTTACAAAGATGTATCATACTCCTGGTGGAAGGTTTCCAACATGTCCTCGATATCCTCAATCTCCCCAAGGTTGTCTGCCGCGAGAATATCGTCGATGGTCGCGAGGCGTGCAAGCAATATCGGCATAGTGACACCATACATCAAGACTTCTCCCCGAAGAACATCCTCGCATTGGTATTGTTGGTCCCGGACGAAACAGAACGCTTCTTCAAACATCACCCTCAACCCACGTAGTCCTGCAAGGCGGTTGCGGCCGAAATAGTCCATCTTTTCCACCTCCAAGCGGCGCTCGGCGAGTTCGCGATCCACGGTTGTAATGCGGACATATTTGCCGATCATCCTGCGCTGCTTGCGTGCTGTTCCGCCCCGGAGGCCGCGCTTGCGGATGTCCGGGTTGTCTTCCCAGAGCTCAGACAACTCATGCTGGATTCTGGCTTCGTGTTGGTCGATGGTGGTATGGGCAGCGCGGATGAGGTCGGCAAGAGTGTAAAGACGGTCGAGGTGCTCATGGATGGCGCCAAAGTTGATGAACAAGGCCGGGTCTAGTTTGATATTGGATACTGAAACGAATGTGGTTGGTGCCAACAATTCCGACGATGGTGGTTCGTACTGCTCGATCCCTAATCGGAACTCTGCAAATATCAGACGATGTCGGCGGCCATGAAGAAGAGTCCTACCGCAGGCTTCATCCTCAACCTTTGGGACCGCCATGTCTGTCTCCATTGAAGCTGTGTTGTTAAAATAGACAGATTCACGGAGATGAAAGTTCGATTCATAGTCGAGTGAAGAGAACCAACAGTGATTTCGGTGGTGCGGCAGAATTTTGCGATTGAGCCATAGAATTCACATCTTCACACGCGAAGCTGACAAGCTGTGATGTCGCTCCGCAGGGTTCGGCAGAGTATCGCTTCCATCCTCGTCTCCCGTGAGATTTTGCTGGAGAGGTTGGACCATCGACCGAGTCCATCTCATGCTCATCACTGCTTAAGATCAACAACTCCATCTTGAAATCCGCTGAGCTTCATACCGAGCGAGCCTTTCGAAACCGCATCATAAGCTGACCCAGAGGCACGTCTGGTCCCAAACGAAGCGTGAGCGCCGACGCCGACCGTTCCGCAACCACTGCAGCAGGTCGCTCCGATACGGTGAGGGAGGCTCACTCTCCGAGTTTGTACCTTCACACGAAGACTCCTCAATGTCCTCGGAGCTGGAAATCAGTTTGATGGGTGATGCCTGACGTGCGGACTGGAGCACGGCCTTGGAGACAAGATGCCGTCTGGATACGGGGACATAGACAACCTACGAGTCCCATCAACCCATCACAGGGCATTGGATTTTCCTCAAGAAAGAAGCAGAGTTGCGTTACCGTGTTGAGCAGGATCCATGTTGTTGGAGTGGGAGCACAGGGGTCGTGGGCGTGCAAGGTGACAATCCCCGCCCTAATTCGCCATACAAATGATGGTTTCTGCACCTGTGTGTGAAGCTCCAGATCTCAATTATGCAAGCCCCAAGTTCAAAGAAGGGGGAAACATGGGGGAATGCATGCTACGGGCCCTTGACCGAGGACGAATAAGAAACAGGCCCGTTTGTCATACATCAAGCAAACGAAAACTGTAAGGGATCGATTGCCGGAGAAATGTGGATTTCTTTGACCTCACGCCACCATTATGTACATCCACCCCACATGTTCAATCTTCATGCCTTCATAACCCCTCAATTTCAACCAATTTTCTTCTTATTTCACTTCACAATCAATCCCAAACGTCGTAACGACCCCTAAGCGGCTTTCAAATAAATCAATCCAGACAATTCCGTTGAAAGAACCAGCACGATGCTCATCGAAGAATCGTACAAAGATGTGCCGACTAAGGCAGCGGGAGAGGGTTCAATGCGTAAGACTTCCGTCAACTTACACGGCTCAGATGTGAACTCAGGCTGAGCGATGAAAATGCAAAAGGAATCTATATCTTCCATCCCACCATCCCTGGCTACCCAGGTGCCAAGTTTCCCGGTGTCGTTGTGTTCTCGGAAATCTACCAAGGTAAAGCTTTGTCAAACATCCTACATACACCAGAATCTCCACGAAGAACCCGGTAGAGACTGAACACTTTTGCTCCAGTGACTGGTCCAGTGTGCCGCTTTGCCCGCCAAATCGCCGGCCAGGGCTACATTGTCGCTGCACCCTCGTCCTACCACGAATTCACTGGTCCCGAGCCGCTGGCCTATGACGTCCCCGGCACCGACGCGGGGAACGAGTGGAAAATCACCAAGAAACTCGCCGCGTACGACGAGGACTCGGAACTGGCTGTCTCGTTGTTGTTGGGGTTAAAAACGTGCAATGGCAGGATCGGGGCTACGGGGATGTGTCTCGGAGGCCACCTCGCATATCGATGTGCATTGGATCAGAGGGTCAAGGCCGCCGTGTGTTTCTTCGCCACGGATATTCACAGTCATAGCCTAGGGGAGGGCAAGAATGACGATTCCCTGAAGAGGGCGGGCGACATTAAAGGGGAATTGGTCATGATCTTCGGCAAGAGCGACAACCATGTTCCACCCGAGGGGCGGGATTTGATCAGGAAGACGCTGCACGAGAAGGGCGTCGAGTTTTCGTTCTACGAGGTCTTTGGAGCGCAGCATGCTTTTGTGAGAGACGAATTGAGCAAAGGAAGGTACGATCCAGCAGTTACCAAGGTGTGTTTTGAGATGTTGCTGGAGCTCTTTGGGCGGAGGTTGAAGATCGATCTGGGTGAGCCGAGCGGGGAGAAGCTAGTCATCGAAGACGTATGTTGAACAGTAAAAGAAACGCATGGCGTAGCCCCCTTGCAGAGAAACAAAGACGTCAACAGCTGCATAAATATCCTAGAGCCTAGAGAAGACAGCATGCCAACCATTCACAATTTCGCCTCAGGTTTCTTGTCATCTTCTCCTGTCGACTTATACCCAAACAGATACGCGGCGACCTTCCGGATCTGCACTTCTTCGCTACCTTCGGTGATCCGATACCTTCTGAAGTGTCTCCAGATATGTTCAAAGGGATAGTGTCGCGAGTATCCCACTCCACCGTGGATCTGGATCGCTCGATCCGCAGACTCGCAGCACAGACGGTTGGCGTAGTAGTTGCACATGCCAATCTTGTGGCCCAGTTGCTTCTCGATGGCAATCCACGGTGCGCTGCCGTTGGCTTTGCATGCCGCTGTGACTTGGTCCATTTCCACGGCGGTGCGGAGGATCAACAGTCTCAGCATCTCGGCTTGGGTAGAGAGCTCCACAAGCGGCCACTGAATGGCTTGGTTCGCCGAGAGAGGTTTCCCAAAGACGGTCCGTTTCTTCGCGTACTCGACGCTGCGGTCGATGCAGTACCGTGCTGCACCGCAGCTGGAGGCGGCTTGTCGAATACGATTTTCGTGTGTGAATGTCTGCGCAATGGCCAGGCCGTTGTCCACCGGCCCAAGAATAGCTGAGGCAGGAACTCGAACTTTGTCGAAGAGCACTGTTGCGTGGTCGGTCGGCATGTTGAGGGTCCACTCGTATGAAGCGACGGTCAGGCCTGGCGTCTCTCGGGGAACGATGAAAGCAGTGATGCCCTTCGGAGATCCGTTCTTGCCCGAGGTTCGTGCGAAGACCAGACAGTGCGTGGCGGCGTGCATGCCAGTCTGCCATTTCTTGTTGCCGTTAATCTCATAACCAGGCTCGCCGTTGGGCATGGTGATCGGTTTCGCCGTGGTGTCCATATGGGTTGCGTCGGAGCCGTGATAGATCTCCGTCAAGCCAAACGTAGATCTGAACTCGCCCTTGATGCTGGCGGGGATGTACTTGTTCTGCTGCTCCTTTGTGCCGTAGTGGTGCATCATGATGATGAACGGATTGTTGCCGACGACGCTGTGTTCGTTCTGCAGGTCATTGGCCAGACTCACGCCGCCTCCGTAGACTGGGTGCGACGACAGATGGTACCGAATGGCGCACATGTACAGGTTCTGGTGCTCACTGCCAGCGCCACCAAATTCCTTTGGGAAACCGAACCTATAAAACCCAGCTTCGTCGGCCAGTTTGCGCGCTTCACGGAGGAGATTCTCCCACTCGAGAGTGGGGAGGCCTTGATTGTCCCATTGCGTCCGGGAAGATTCGCGACGATGGTCGAAGAAGCGGTTGTTGTCGTCCTTGTGTTGGAGTGGGAGGATCTTGTCCTTGATGAAAGCGTCGACGCGGGAGATGTAGTTTTGAAGGTCGGTGGGAAGCTCGAAATTCATTGCGGCTACTAGGTCGTAACAAACCAAAAAAGCAAGAAGAAACTGGAGGGGAGCTGGAGGCTGGCCTTCTCAGGAGCTTCTATTTCCAACCCATTTATTTGCGTTAGAGCTATATTTCTGTCGCCGTGGTTGTGTCGGCTTGTCGATGCGGAGTAAGGCGAGGCTGATCTGGGGAGTCGTTATCCTCGGATGAAGGATCCTCGGTTCACTTGGGTAGCCTGATCTCTGTCTGATGCGCCAGGTCTCCTCTATTGGTATTCATGCCTTGCCGTAGTCGAATCCTGTGGAGCATGAAGATGAATGATGCATTCTGCTAGTCCCTACTCGGTTCGGTATGCCACCGAGGTACCCAGTACGGAATTCCGAGTACTGTACTCCCACGAGGTACCGGACCCCTGGACCCCTAAACATGCTGCCTTTTTTTCAGCTGAGTCACTTCGCAAGGACATCCCCCTCCCCTGGTGCCCCTGGTGCCCCTGCTCGGCCCTAGTCTGATTTTCCAACGGTCTGGAGATCGGAAGCCAATAATCCGTGACTGGCGCTCGCTCAAACCTGACCTTTGCCTGCTGCCTTAATTGTTGTCCTATATTCATGTACATATATCGTTTGCAGAATCTCTATCGGCTTGGAAGGTCCGGAATCACTACCTAATTCTATGTTGTCGGCCACAAAAACAAGCAGGGAGAAAAGAACCTCAGTACATTCTCTAATGGGAAATTGGCTCGCTGCTAATTATCGCCTAGCACACAGACTGAATCTCAGGTCAATCCAGGTGGAAGCATGGACGACCTTGTAATAAGCAGTTGAACAACCAAGAGCGGTGATGAAGTTTTCCATTTCTGATAAGACTGGTTTGTGGTGATATCGCAGACAACGACTGTCTAAAAGTCGAAGCTTATGCATATTAATCCTTTTTCTTTTATCAGACAGACATCTCAATGCTGCTTGCACATAAAACCTGGGGTTTCGATTCGCGTGGCGAGATCACTTGGGAGATGGCTGGGGTGATGCAAAAATCATCTAGGTACATACATACGTGGGAGACGCAACAGCAAGATGACAGATCCACCGCCCGATGAGTGGATGGACGATGTCTCTAAAACTGAGTTCTCGTAGCGAGATGCGGATGCAAACACATGCACTGTCCCACGCGGGGCACGTTGGGATCCCAAAGATGCTGAGTGGCTTCAAGCCGTGATCGGTTCTCAGGCGCGTTTCTCTAAACTCTGGCAAAAGGAGAACCAGGCCATTGCAGCCCCTGTTCGAAAGACCACCAGGGTTACTTGTACCATGGCAAGTTTGTTTCGGGTCTCTGCCGCATGCTACCCAGGACTCGAAAGGTGCAAAGTGTCCCAATCTCGTTTACAAAGTAGACTCACCAAGACGAGAATGTCGGTATGAGGCCATATCATTGGTCTCAGCAGGAGCGGCGGCACTGTTCTCTGTGCAACGCCGATTTACGAGTATGCGCCTCTCTAAGGGTTCTCCGCAAATGATGAGATTGCTAAAACCAAAGATCTTCTCGATCACCCACGCAGATAGGCGAATTTTTTTGAGGCTGGCGCCCCTGATCTCGAGCACAGTGCAGGACCAGCTTCCAGTACGGAATTTGGTACTCCAAATATGCCAGCTCCAAGATATCAGGAAAAGCCACGCCGAACTGGGTCAGGAGGCTGAGTATTATTATTAAATCATGTTCCATGAGAGCAAAAGGGAAAGCCGAGACTCGAGCATAAAGAAAAACGAGGCTCTAATCTCGGGATGCAAGCCACGGAGCGCCAAGCTTGAATAGTTGCGGCACGCTAAGCCCTTCTAGGCCTATCCCTTCTCCTTTTTTTCAACTTCGACTCACTTTGCTCACTCCAAACACGGAACAACGCAAAGCTGATTCCGTGGCTTGATCACGAAATTTCTGGGCCAAACAACCCACAGCCATAGCGCGACTTCCACTGGTCTTAGACTTCAGGCCCCTTTGGGAACGATGACCGGGGTACTCCAACGCGTGTCCTCCTTGAGCTGCCAAACAAAGAATGGCGGCTATCGTCGAAGGCAGCGATCATCGATGTCGCTGGCGTGTAGGACCCGCCGGAAAAGCCTCGTGCGTCTTCCAGCCATGTGGCGCTGATCCCTAACAGGGTAGAATCCTGGCGGTCTGTCAGATCATTCGATGATGGTCCGAACTAGGGTTTGCAGTGCTGCCAGTAGCCGTGGAAGGCAGATGTGCTTCGTTCACACGCTCGTCTAGCCTGCGGAGTACGTCCAACGTTCGGGGAGAGGGGGGGGGAGGCGCCATCTACTCAACCTGCACACCTCTCCTCCTCTTCCTTCCTTTTCTTTGGTAAACCGTCATTGCGTTGTCGACTGGCACGCGTCCGTTCGTTCTTCATATCAGCCGCTCTTTCCATGAGCTGTTGCTCAATGCAACATGCTGCCATTCTTTTATTTTCTTTTGTTTTCTAATGTGGCTTTAGGTTCATTGGGAAAATGGGGGGGTTTCATGCCATGGAAGAAGAATTTGTTGGAACGCGACGTTGAACCGACCTGCTCTTGTACTGATCCAATCGCCGCTGAGTGGGCAACAAACAAATCCTTTGCAGATGCTGCGACTTCTGCTGCGACCCCGGCCGGTTATTATCAAGCATTCAACAATGGACAAGCGTGGATTTCAGGAGATGGGTTTATTGGACACACGACAATTGATGAGTACGACAGCAGTATCTGTGCAGCGATTTGCGATGGCATTGATGAATGTTCCTCATTCGAGATCTACTTTGAGAAGGAAATTGGTGGTCCAGCTCCAGCAATCAAGTGTTCGTTCTGGGCTGGAGCAATTGCTGCTAGTGGGTCAAGCAGCACAAATGCCGTGATCGCCGGTTGTAACGGCTACACTAACAGCACTCTCACAACTCCCAAAGGGTTTGATGTTCCGGTGTTCATGGCGGGCGCGGCAATTCATCCACCACCAACTCCTGGAGCATTCCTTGGCTCGAAGATCTTTAATGGACCATTCGACACGTCGAATTGCGCGGAAGCGTGCAGCTCAATCGGCTGCAAATTCTTCAACACCTACATTGTCTCTAAGAATGGTGTGAGCCAGGGCCAATATTGCGACATGTACGCTCAGCCATTCGGACCAGAATGGGCAACAGAGACCGGAAGATCGGATGGGAAGACAAATTTTACCATCTCTCATAGCTTTGCCTGCGGTGCGACTGAAGAAAAACGTGGTGAGAGTCTGTCTAGCGGCGAACCCGGCGCTCCACCGGCCACAACACCTGTCAGCGGCAATGGCCGGAGGGGGTCCTGGGAAGAGCAGCATCCTTGGCACGGAAGTAGCCCTTATGCGGGCAACAGTGCCAGCAGTGCCAGCCAAAGTGGACTGTCAAGTTCCTCGACTGGGAAGCACGGAGGTCAGACGTCTCAAACAGGAAGCGACCCGAATAGCTTCGGGACTCCAGCTTCTTCTACTTCGAAAGCCCCGCGAAATCCTGGCTCCTCCGAATGGGGTGATTGGGATAACTGGAGTACTACTACTTTCTCGACCCCAGGTGCAACCTCCTTGCCAGTAGATGCAACCTCTCGAGGAACGAGTAGCAGCTCGACGTCTGTTGATAGTGTTGACCCTGCCAGAACTTCGACTCCCGCGACGACCAAGTCAGGTAGTACCTCTCATTTTCTCCCGCCCAGGTCAACTGCTGCCTCTCATTCAGTACGAGGGGGTGTGAGCGGATCTCAGTCCCACGCACAAGATTCCATTTGGCTCGATTGGACATCTTCTAAATCGTCCATCGTTTCCCCAACGACTTCGACCTTCACTACCAATTCAGTTGCTGCTGTAAGCACCAAGTCAACCACGAAGACGAGTTCTGCTCCTGGTAGCCGGCCAGACCAGCCGGGTCAGCCAACCCGATCTTCAGTCGGCCGTCCACAGACAACGCCAAATAGAGCGAATGGCGGCTCTAGTGGTTGGGCAGATTGGGGAGTGTCAATAGGCCAAAATTCTTCGGACGCCATCACTACGACATCAGCGGCCCCATCGAAGCCGGTCGAAGCTACAACGAGTAGATCTACATCTGCCCATACCTCTGGGCCTAGTAGACAACCTATCACTCGGCCGACACGCCCCGGGGGAAGGCCGCAGCCATCGCATACTCTGTCTCAGCCTACGTCTAGCGCTTTGCCAGTGGATGCTCTTCCAACAACCTCCTCTGGATCCACGACAACTTCGAGTGCGAGGGAGTCGAGGTCTTCCGGCTTCCCTTGGCCGTCACACAGTGGAACGGAGGCAGTTTGGCTTGATTGGTCATCGTCATTGACTTCAAGTTCTCTCGTGGTTGATGGAACCACAACCACTGTTCTCTCGACAATTACAACAACAACAACAACGAAGGATTCGAGGCCACGTGCCTCTGCCTGGCCTTCGCACAGTGGCACAGAGAACATATGGCTAGACTGGACCACATCGTCTACCTTGAGCTCCCTCTCCGTCGATGCGCTCACTACAACATCTTCTCCATTAACTACGTCCACAACGAAAGGCTCGAGACCGACTGGCTCTGCCTGGCCTTCTCGTAACGGAACAGAGCAGATCTGGCTGGATTGGACCTCTACATCTTCAACTTTGAGCTCCCTGCCCGTTGATGCAGCCACAACAACCTCAAGCCTTCCGACAACTGCTTCCACATCCACAGCTTTCTCGAGGCCGAGCGGCTCTTCCTGGCCTTCAGAGAATGAAACAGAACATATCTGGCTTGACTGGACCACTTCTTCATCCACTTCCAGCTCCCTCTTCGTGGCTGCCGCCACAACAACCTCGACCCTCTCGACGTCCCCTTCTCCAACATTCTCGAAGCCAAGCAGCTCTGCCTGGCCTTCAGAGAATGGAACAGAGCGAGCGTGGCTGGACTGGCTTACTGCTTCGTCTACTTCCAGCACTTCCAGCTCTTTGTTTGTTGCCGCGGTTACAACTAGCTCAACTATCTCCACAACCTCTTCAAATGGGTTTAGGCCTACCGGCTCTACCTGGCCCTGGCCTTCAGAGAATGGTAGCGCATGGGAGGATTGGAGTCGGACGACTTCGCACACGTCAACCGTCCTTTCTGTCGCCGATGCTACATCTTCAACCCTTCCTACAACCACATCCACGACAAGCTCTAAGGCCGCTTACTCTGGGTGGCCGTCTGAAAATGGGAGTGTATGGGAAGACTGGGGTAGGACAACTTCATCTAAATCAACTATTCTCTCTGTTGCCGACACTGCCACTTCGCCCCTCCCCACCACCACGTCTAAGACAAGTTCAAGGGCTATTTACTCCGCTTGGCCATCTGAGAATGGTAGTGCTTGGGAAGATTGGACTAAGACAATTTCATCGACGTCAAGTGCTCTCTCTGTTGCTGATCTTACTACAAGTTCGGTCATCAGCACAAGTACGGCAGCTACAACAAGTTCTAGAGCGGGTTATTCTGCTTGGCCGTCTGAGAATGGCAGTTCGTGGGAGGATTGGAGTAGAACAATTTCGGCTTCCTCCACCTCTAGCGTCGCCTTCGTTGATGCTGAAACCACAAGCTCTCCGCTTCCTACTACTTCGACTCAGAGTACTAGATCCTTTGGCTCCAGCTGGCCATCGCACAGTGGCAATGGCTCTTGGGAAGATTGGGCCGCAACTTCTACTTCTTCACGTCTGAGTGCTGATGCTCTGACTACTTCTACTTCCAGCCTCGCTACCACCACATCGACGATAAGCTCAAGATCCAGCTACACCTCGGCTCCGTCTTACAATGGGACATACAGTGGGAACGGAACATGGGAAGACTGGGCTAACTGGCTGAATCTGACTTCTGGGACTTCAACATCTACGAAGCTGCCTGCTGATGCTTTGACTACGACCTCTAGTGTCGCGACGACCACCTCGACAACTTCAAAATTTGCCATTCCAACATGGCTCTACAGTGGAACGTATCCGGGCAACTTCAGTTGGGAGGACTGGGAGACAACGGCATCTACGTCGTCGAAATTAGTTGACGCTTTGACGACTACATCTAGCTTAGCGAGCACAACTTCCACGAGGGCTTACTCGGGCTATCCTTCTCATAGTGGGTCAATGAACGGCACCTGGGAGGATTGGGAAGCGACCTCCACGACCTCTGTCAAGTCGACTACTTCGTCGTTACTGCCGGTTGATGCCATGACTAGAACCACTTCCACGACGATAAGCTCTGTAGCGACAACCAGCTCTGCTCGCTCATATCCAGGCTATCCTTCTTACACCGGAACTGTTACCTGGGAAGATTGGAGTCCAACATCGACATCCGTAAAGTCGACGAGCTCTTCCCTTCTGCCGGTTGATGCCTTGATGACGACGAGTTCTGCATCTTCGACAACCTCCGTTTTCGCATACCCAGGTTATCCTTCTTACAATGGATCCATGAATGGCACTTGGGAAGATTGGAATCTAACGACAAAGGCCGCATCTTCGGTGTCATCTACAACCGCAACTACAACAAGTTCCGTGTTTGGATACCCGGGCTACCCGTCATATAATGACTCGAACTCTGTCTGGCTAGATTGGAACCTGACGTTTGTCTCTACAACACAGAGCACTTCTGTTTTGCCGGTTGATGATTTAACTACAAGCCCAACCACGTCTTTGAGTACAACCACAACAAGCTCTAGCTTTTCATATCCTACGGCAGGCAACTGGACGGGTTACAACGAGAGCGCGTGGCTGGATTGGAATCTAACAACAACCAGAACAAGCACGTTGTATGTTGACGGTCGAACCACGTCCACAATTTCCACCAGCACTATAAGCCTGGTCCCGACAACTACCTCAGCCAGAGCGTATCCAACGGTTTCGTATAATGGCACAGGAAACTGGACAGAGTCAGAATGGCTGGATTGGAACTTGACGTCAACCTCGTTCGCCTATCCTCGCACGACGACTTCTTCTCCCGCAGTTACCACGACTACAACGACCTCGGAACACCCAATTGATACGGCTACAGGGTCAACCTCGACCTCAGCTTTTCCCACCATCCCTTCACACAATATAACGGGTAATTGGTCGAGCTACAATGACTCGAACTCTGTCTGGTTGGATTGGACAACTACAAGCCTCGGGACTGTATCCACAACCTCTAGCTCGCAAGTTGGCTATCCAACAATCCCGGCCTATAACGAAACTGGTAATTGGTCAGACTGGCTGTCGAATATCACCTACAGCTCGGCCTCAGCATTTATCGATCCGCGGACAACCACCTCTTCCTTGAGCACATCCTCTGTTCTCTCTGTCGCTGCTACTGCTCTGACGCCCACTTCTACTTCAACTTCCACGACCGCCACGGCAATAGGACATCCGACTGTCCCGGCTTATAACGGTTCATACCCTTCGACTAATTGGACAGATTGGAACGGTACAATTCCCTGGAGCATCACTTCTTCCAGCTTGGCTGCCTCGTCTACGACAACTTCAGTAGGTGGATATCCAACTGTTCCTGCGTATAATGGTTCATATCCTTCTACGAACTGGACAGATTGGAATGGTACTATCCCCTGGAATGTGACTACTTCAGCGACTACGTCTTCCTTGAGCACGTCCTCGGCCCTCTCCGTTGCCGCTACTGTTCTGACACCGACAACGTCCTCAACCACCTCATCCACGACCACTTCAATTGCGGGATATCCGACTATTCCGGCCTATAATGGCACATATCCTTCGATGAACTGGACGGACTGGAACGGTACAATCCCCTGGAATATGACTTCTTCCATAACTTCGTCGGTTTCTCCTACTACTTCGGTAGCAGGTTATCCGACTACGACGTATAGTGGATCATATCCCTCAATAAACTGGACTGATTGGAACGGCACAATTCCTTGGGATATCACTTCCTCCTTGAGGACATCTTCTACCTCCTCTGTCCTCTCTGTCGCTGCTGCAGTGACCAGCACGACATCTTTCGCCTCGACGACAACAACCTTGCAATCTGGATATCCTACACTTCCAGCCTTCAATGGCTCTTACCCATCAACGAATTGGACAGACTGGAACGGCACAATTCCTTGGAACTTGAGTTATCCGCTGACTACGTCTTCTGCGCTCTCTATTGCAGCGACTCAGGTTACTACTTCGTCCACCCCAGCTTCGTCCACGACGACTGCGAGAGACGGATACCCAACAAATTGGACTGACTGGAATGGCACGATCCCATGGAACTTTAGTTCTTCGCTGACTACGTCTTCCACAGTCTCTGTTCTGACTGTCGCCCCTACGCAGATGAGCACTACGTCGAGCACTACATCTCTGACCCCCTCTTCGTCCACCACACGCTCGGTGGATGGATATCCGACAACCTTACCCTATAATGGGTCTTATCCATCGACAAATTGGACAGACTGGAATAGCACAATCCCTTGGAATTTCACTTCGCAGATCACTACGTCCTCTTCCACGACGAGCTCAGTGGCAGGATTCCCAACGATCCCAGCCTACAATGGATCGTACGCGGGCACGAACTGGACCGATTGGAATGGTACAATTCCATGGAACGAGACCGACGGCAGAAGTTTGACCACGTCATCGACGGCATCTCTCGTGACTCCCACAACATCAATACTTTATGTGTCACCGACGACTACGAGCCATACATCGACGTCCTCTGGAGCCTGGCCGACAATGACGGCACCCGCTTACAACGAGACGCAGTGGCTTGACTGGCTCAACAGCACGAACAGTACCGGCAACTGGACCCTGCCAACTAATTCCAGCCGCCCCCTTAACTTGACTGATCCTTTGCCGACTACTAGTTCTGTGACAAGCACCTCTGCCTGGGCTGTGCCGACATTGGCATACAACGGAACCGGAAACTGGACGGACTGGTACAATTCCACAGGAAGCAATGAGACATGGCCATTCAACTTCTCTGCCACAACAAGCACCTCCCTGATGTCGACGACACCTAGCCCAGTTGCTGTGACAACCACTTCCACCACAACTTCTGTCTTGTTGACAACGACCTCGTCCTCGGTGTTCCCAACAACGACCTCGGTTTGGGCTTACAATGACACCGGTAATTGGACGGACTGGGCCAGCAATAGCACTGCTCCATTGAACTACACAATTCCCCATTCGAACTCGACGAACTCGACCGCTTGGAGTAGTAACTCAACGTACCCCGCCAGCAATTCGTCTGAATGTGGTGCCACTCCCCCTTCGCAACTTCTGGAGAATCCATCATTCGAATGTTCCGGCACGGGTTGGAATCTGGATGAAGTGGACATTGTCTGGGGAGCTGTCTCGAGCTCAGCTACACCTTCCAAGCGTATACGTGATATCCTGTCCCCTGAGGCAGCATATGACGGCAAAGGATTCGCGCGATTTGAGCCCACTTTCGAAGGTGCTACTGCTACTTTGTCGCAGACACTGACCACTCCGGCTGCGAATGGATCCTACTGGTATTCATTTGCCTACAGAGTTCCGGCTTCTGGGGTCACTCCAGATGGATGTACGTTGACAGTTTCGAACGATGAAGGAACTCTAGCAACTCTAGGTTCACTTTCGGCCGCGACTACTTGGACCACGACCGGAAAAGAATTCCAGATCACTTCCTCGGCGAGCACATTCTCTCTGATCTTTAGCTGTGATGGTGTCGAGACCGCTTCACCCATTCTAGATGTCGACAATATCAGGATGGGCATGAGCAGCGGAAATTGGACCTTTGTGAACGGAACTGGTGGCGGATATAGCAATAGCACTGGCCTTCCAACTTCTAGTGGTCAACCTCAAACCAACATGACATACGGGCAGCCTCCAGCCAACCTGACTACGCCGGCCTACGGCAACAACTCGACCGATTATACGGGAGGAACCGGCGGACCAGAGACTGGAGACACATCCAGCAATGGCCCTGTCACCACATCCCCAATGTCTTCCCCAGAACCGTCAACAACTTATGATCTCCGAGAGTCTGCCCCTACCTCCTCGTCCTCACCAACGAGACCAACGACATCGTCTCCGACCCCAACGACGACCGACCCAGCCGTAACGCCGGATTCAATGGATCCTACCACGACGCCGGACTCCTTGGATGCGTCGACCACATCTCCGGCAGCAGCTGCAGCTTCAGACACGAGCACATCGTCGACGTCGTCACCACCTCCGTCTGCCACTGTATTTGCACCGCGAGACAGGGTTAAGAGGCACCGATATCATCGGAACTCGTAAGAGTATGACGAAGCATTTGGATGTGCGGGAAACCAAGGATTTTGGGGAAAGGGGGAAGTGACGAGGGAACCAGCAACAGATACCCCCCATAGTTATTTCTCTAGGTAGTTTCTTTCACGATTGTTTTCTTCACAGCCAAACTCCGCATTTCCTAAAGCATCTTTCACGATCTTTTTCGAGGGAATAAGCTTATTGATATCAGCAACCAGTCACCACGGCTGCGAAAAGGAAGATGGAAGAAGAAGGGGGAGATTCGGCTTTTCCTTCCTAGACCAAAGGGTTTCTGGGACGGTTTTCTATTTTTCGCGTTATTGGATTCAGAGTTTTGTTGGCGCGGTATTTACTCGTAGTACTATGTGTGGCGGCTTCCGGGTGCCACAATCAGCTGGGCCAGATCTTCTCGATTGTTTCCTCCACCCTCTCCCTCGTTTCATATTAGGCGGGCGATGTGATTCGATTCTAGACCTTCTCGCAGCCCCAGGCTCTCTCCGTAAAGCCTTGTTGACTGCCCGCTTGTTTCAATTCGGGGCTGGCGGCCCTAGGAACATTGGAAACATTTTGATGGAGCGATAGGAACATGCACTTGCCCGTATGTCAAAACTCGACACGTTCCCGGGGCTGGCGTTGATCGCAGGATCAGAATACGAATTGGAAACCCTTCATTTCTTTCCGTCCTTCCCACCAGGCGTCCAGTTTCACGTGCGTGGATTTTGATCTGCAAAGAGAAGCCGACTGACTGACGGACCTTCAAATCCTGTCTGCTCCCTCCTCAAGAAATACTGACACAGAGACCAGGGCTCCATCGAGAGTATTTCCGAACTATTAGGGACTCACGTCGTACCCAACGGAGATACTCTCATTCGTATGGTAGTGTGTTTTATTTTCTGTGATGAATTGCCACCGCGGCATCAGCCTCGTCCCCTATCTTGACATGAAGACTCGCCAATCAGGGGCTAGCTAGGCCGCCCAGGTGGATCTGACATTCAGGGGATTCAACAGGGACACAACCCCAATTGGGAAGCGATGCCTCGTCCAGGGTGGACAACAAGGCTGGTGAGCACCAGGGTGGTGAGGCTTTCTCCTGGAAATTGGCCCAGGTTGTCACCAAAACCCACGTCTGGCGACCCGCCAAAGCTTACGCAACTTTATCCGGGGACTTCGTTTACTACACCTTGTACTGGGTAGTGCCATCATCCTTTTTATTTACATACGTCCCCGTCCTTTGTCCGCACAGGGCAAAAAAAATGGACTTCGATTTGATTTGATTCCGCGAGAACGTTTCAGCCGGGTGTAGCGCGCCCTCCTCCCCTGCGTCCTGGTAAGGCTGCCTGTCTATCTGTCAGCAGAGGAAGGCATCGTATTACTCCCTGGCCGGTCTTGCTTCCGAACCCTTTCTCAAATTTCCATGGCACTGACAATCGGTAACTCCACGAGCAGGCATTTCATTTCCACCGCCGTCATGGAATGGCTGGCCCTAAGGAATGAAACGGGCAGATCCATTTTCTCTTTCCCCTTTTCGTTGCGCCACTTAGAAGACCTGCAATCCATGGACGTAGCTGCTGCTTTTTCCGGTAGCACGCTTGCACGGTGAGTGCGCACGCGAAGGACCGAGTGACAGAGGATATCTTCTTCCATATATTTGACCCTGCCCTCTTCAAACCTCTTCCCTACCTATCCATCTCTCATTCTTTCCATTGGCATTCCGTCGTTTCTCGACAGAATCGCACTTTTTCTCGTCGATTGTTATCCGACCATAGTCACTCTTTACCTGGTTCAGTTTTCAACTCACCACAGTCATTCGTTACAGTAAACCCACCACCGCCCCATTCCCGAACCTCTGCACACAATGAAGTTCTTCAGCACTATCCTCACAGTTTCGGCACTTGCAGGTGTCACCTTCGCGGGCCCCCAGCGCGGAGGCTTTGGACGACCACCTCCTCCCACAACTGAGTCGAAGACCGACGACCACCCTGCTACTAGCTCTCCAACACCGGGATATTCCTCGTCGAGCCCAGCGTATTCCACCGGACACAGCTCCACCACCACCACCACCACCACCACCACCACCACCACCACCACCACGACATCCAAGGTGGTGACCACCACTACCACCGCGCCTCTCGGAACCGTGACCTGTCTCAGCACCGCCGCGGCCACCAACGTGGTCAATGGCTTCGCCTCTCTGCTGACAGCGTACAGCAACGCGACGGCCGAGTCTCTCCTCGCCTCCGACTTCACCGACACGTCCGACTCGATCAACTTCCTGGCCGGCAATCCCTTGGGCAGCACGACGTTTCCCAGTAAGCTGGCATTCGAGCTGGGCCAGGGCAGCCAACCCGCCATCGGGTTCCAGGTGCTGAACATCGACGCGATCACTTGCAAGGTCATCGCGTTCCGGTGGGAGGCCATCCTCGGCTCCAGCAGCCCCGTCAAGGGCATCAACATCCTCTACACCGAGAACCCCACTCAGACCGACGACGGCTGGCAGATCCAGAGCGTCTTCTCCGAGTTCAACTCGGGCACGTGGACCATCGAAATTGGCGGAACCTGCGTCCCGCCTTCTCAGGCTGGCGCCTCCCGCTAAGCAAAAGAAAACATATACATTACCCCCGCGTCCGCCAAGTAGTCCTCCACACACAAGACAAGGACTGAGCTGCGAAAGCCGTGCCTCTCTATCTCTTGGATAGGAGAAATAGATGCAACTGACTGGTTGACCGACCGGCTGGCGCCCTCGAGTGCGGGAGAGAGATGTTCATTGTTGTGCGCCTTCCACATATTCTGAAATATCTATGTATGTACACATGCGGTGACATGTATACTATCACACATTAATATCACCGGTGTTATCACTCCATACCTCTTTTTTCGATTCTCGGAACGGGTAGTACTACTAGTATGGACAAGGGGCTGTCTCCCTCTCCCTCTTCCCCTCTACCTCTGGCTCCGGCTTCATCTTGGTCTTCGTCACGGCATGACCAGCTTTGCCTGGCGTTCTGTACAAGTCCTGCACAAGCCGAGTCGATAATGTATCATGTCTACAATACGGCATTGGTCTTGTCAAGTTGATTCTCTACTCTCTACCATGCCATGAGGCCTATACTCATCGAGGACTGCATTTCCTTCGTCTTCTCCGTCGGCGACTCTGTCCCCACAAACAACATGAAATAAGCCATATTCCACGCTCTCTTACTCAACAGTCTTTGCTCCAGTACAATTGTGCCATTCGAGGCAACGTGTCAAAACTCGAAAAGTTTCCGTCCGTATTGACCCAATCACTGGTGTTGCCACTCAAGTATTTGCCCGCTGCCGCGGAGAAGAAACTTGTCACATACACATCGACGAGAGTGGAATCTGATGTGTTGGCTCCGACGCTGACGTTTGCTTGCACATAATGTGGAGCAGACGAGTACCCCTGGTTGGCGTGGATGATGTTGTCTCCATCGGCGCCGAGGTCGTCTTTCGTCACGTATCCTGGTGTTTTGATCAAAGTGGTTGCATTGACTGGAAGCGGAGCTCTTTTGTAGACTTTGTCCGTCTGCATATTCGATAGCAGGTTCTTCGCCGAGGACCAGGGAGCGGTCATGCGTAACCAATAGTTCGTATAAGGGTTCGTTTGGTATGCATTATCGATCGTAAAGGGTCCCTTCAGCAGGTCGTAGCGAAACCCACCCGTGTTGGTAAGGATAATGCGTGACATGTTAGTCCGGTTCGGTGCGACCACTATGGCGGGGAAGACGACGTTTGTCAGGTAGTTGAACAGACTTTGATTCGAGCTGATGGGAACGCGATCTAGGTAGTAGTTGTCCGGACAGCAACCGAGTTTGTGGGTCAATTGTGGGAGGCTGTCCACAGCCGTGGTGATGTTCTTGCTAATTGTCACACCCAAGCTGGTGTTAAATGTCTGCTCATTGGTGCTGGTGTGGAATTCAAAACTATATCGGTTGAAGTCGAGATATTGCCTCGAGTAAGACAAGGTGGAGTTTGGATTTGGCTTAACCCCAGGAACGTCGGAGGGTTTTTGGGTGATTCTGGTGGCATTGCCCATTGGCGACTTGGCTTTGGTGACACGGCTGGGCAAGCCGTTGACAGAAACCCATCCCACCGTCTCGCAATATCTGCCAGAAGCGATACCCACAGCCGAGGCATCAAAGACGACGGCGTCGCGGACATGTCGATGACCTCCAAAGATCTGAATTGGGGTCGTGGGATGATGCTCACGAATAGCGGCGTAGATGAGACCCCATTCCGTAGAGTTCCGAAGAGTGATATGTCCGGCTACCAGAAACATGTCGATATCAGTCCTCTTGACCTGTTGCTGGAACCAAGATTGTTTGACAGCGTCACCGACCGGAGTCACGATTGTGGCGTTGCTGTTACCCGTGAAATTGAAAATGAAGGCAAAGGACATGATCCGGATACCCATCTTTGTCTCCCAATATGCGTATCGGTTGGAGAAGGGCGTGGGATTTCCCGTGAGATTGACCTCGACGTTGGAGGTGATGTAGCGGCCGCCCCAGTACGGAGCAAAGTTGCGATATGTGTCATTGGCAATCTCGGTCGTATAGAGCTCATGATTTCCAATAGACAACAAATCGTACGGCAGCTTTTTGAAAATGGGCAGCGTGAGCTTTCCATTGGGCGTTGTCGCGTCTCCGAACCCGGTTCCGTCATGCAAATCGCCCGAGTCGATGAGCAGGAGGTCAACACCCAGAACATCCGCCTTGGCCTTCATCTTTTGCACAAAGTCAGCAAAGTCGCCATAGTCGGCACTGTAATTGTCGTCGAGCAAATGGCCCGCAAGCCACCCATGAGTATCTGTAGTGTGGAGGAAATTGATCTGGCCCCAATGTAGGTCTTGGATCTGTTGCGGCGGGGTAGGAAGAGCTGCTGGTTGGATCCGTTTTGCGAGGTCATGTTTTCTCATCAAGCCATGGTCGACGTAGCCTCCCAGGACCGGAGATGTCCAATCATGGTCGTCGCACGAGGAAGAAGGCCCAAGGAAAGCAGCGAGAGCAAATAGCGAAGTGAGTAACATGGTGGACTGCTTGGGACAGCTCGGATGACTTTCAAAAAACGAGCGACAATGGCTACACGACTACGGAGGAACCCACCCTGAGTGTGAGGCAAGACAGACGGGCAGCCGGGGCCTTATCAAGCTGTCGTTGAGACTGAGCAGGAGTTGCAGAGTGGCGCCAGCTTCTTCCTTGTAGATCCCCAGGGCGGTTGCACAGGCGAGGAAGCCATCGGAGGTGCTACTGCAGGCATCCGCAGCATAGGCCTGCCCGATGCGGAGGAGGAGCAACGGGAGAGCCATGTCACTGTGCATGTCAGAAGGATGGATGAGGATCTGAGAGACTCGCAGCTGGCCAGGCTGAAGGAAGGCAAGGATAATCGAGACATGCAGTTATCACTCGTCAGTGGCTGGACCAGACGGAGATGGAGCTTGCCAACGCCCGAAAAGCAACTTGCTCAGTAGCTTAACCTCGGGGTAAACCTTGTAATGGAGCAAGGCGTCGTTCTAGCTTCTTGGATGGCGGCTGGGCACACGACACAGTACGTAGGATGGAAGCACAGACCAGAGCACGAGGGGGAATCAATTGGAGACGATCAGCGAGAGTAAGATGAAGGGCTGAAGTCGGTTGCAACCGCCAAGAAAAAGCCTGCAGCACGTGACATTTGTAGGGCTGTATCACGTGACTTTTCACATGATACTGTCAAAGGAGGACCTCGCTAGGCCATTCTAGGACTAGCTTTTGAGGCTTCTCTCTTCAACGGTGTCTGCTGGTATTGTACTTGCTACAAGAACCATCCTCCAGTCCCCAATCCTCTTTGTCTAACTTGTTTCTTTCTCACCTCTCGTGCGTGACGCGTTATTGTCTGTATCCCCCTCTGCCGTGCCACGATTCTCTAACGGCTAATTTAACATCCGTCTCGCCCCTGCTATAACACTCTAATTACCCTGCTTGATCGATACGAACTTTACGCCTCCAAGTCTCCACCTCCTGCCTGTATATGACATTCTTGGTGTTGGAAGTAACCGTCGTTCGCAAAATCTGATGAGTATGGATTGTAATTATCTTAGCCATTCAAAAGGCACACTGCGAGGCCTCCCCATATTGTTCGGAATGAGTATGTGGAGCCGCTATGGTAGCCATAGTTGTGTCGAAGTAAATTGAAATCGGTTGTGACAGGCAAAGACAGGACTATCACAGCGTAGTGCTTGCGTCAGCAGCATGGAATCACTGTCTACCAGTACACAAGCATTTGGATTGCCATCAACAGCGAGTTGCCTTTCCGTACCGTTGGCAGCTAAACCACAAATTTCGCAGTGTTGATAGTCCGCTCGTCAGGCGTCCGTCGCGCATAATCACCAGTCGCAGATCTCAACTACAAGCGTGGGACCTCACGCGGTCGAGTTCGAGATTCCCGAAGGATTTCAGGATAAGTTGGAATACAGAGACATCCAGGACAAGCGTACCTGTGAGGAAATCCTTGTTAGACTAGGCAGATTCATGCCAGTCACTTCGGAGAAGAATATCTGGGGTCCAGGTGCTAGACAGTGTCTCGGAATCACCGCACAACGTCCTGAGTTTCGTCGATACGGAAGCACTCCCAGCGGCGTATATGAAAGGAACCATGGATTCTATTTACGTTGGATGCTGACATGGTACGATGTTCGACCATATATCGTTACGGCGGAGCTTTTCATCGACGTTGGACTTATAGCGTTCCGTGAAGTGGATAGGACGAACTAGCGGACCCGGTGTCTTCTTTCTAAGCGGCCGTGCCACACTTTGACGGGGGCATGTTGAACCATTCCCTCGCCTACAGGAAAGGTGACCATTTGATCAATAGATGATTTGTTCGCCGTAACTGTGACACTACGGAGCTAATCATGCATTAAGCACGACTTATTCAATCATGTCTGGAAAAGGTAGAACGACACCCGAAGGACTGAGGGACGACCCTTGATCGGCTTCATGATGCATGGGAATGCTCTTGCAACGCTTTTAGAGAAGCAGGATGTGAACATGGATTGGAAAATTGATTGTCTGCAGGCCTCAGAGTATGTCGCTCAGTGCTTCTGCATTATTGGACTAATCATCTGTCAGCATTTGACACGATGACAGAGAGAGCTTCGTCACAGCCGTCACGTTCGGTGTTAGACACATGGGTGAAAAAGCCTACGGCCTGTTGGCATTGAAGCGGCATCCCTCCAGATTTGCCACGGAAGAGAAGCAACAGCGCATAAATTTGTCTGCCACATGCTAGCCAGCGCAAGTTGGGAGAAAACTGTCCACGGAAAGGAATTGACACATGAAGTGCAACTTGGTACTCTGTGGGATTTGACCGAGAACCGGGCAAAGATCGGGCGCGAGGAACATATGCCGAGTTAATGAGGTACGGATCTGTCTATTTCGCCCAGAAATGAGAGATGCCTTACGTCGAAACCTCAAGGCTTCTATTTATTCTCCGGAAAGGCCATCTGGAGCCTTGAGGTGGCGACAGCCAGTCTGAAGAGGTCTGGGACATCGTTAGTGGAGGGATCAAGGTCAGGGAGGATTGCGATATTGTATATCCGTG